AAATTACCTCTTTATTCGAACTGGCTTATTGTTCCATGCTTCTATTAGCAGTATATTGTAAGGATGTGTTTCATTAAACTGAATAACCTAAATGCCACTCGAAGACAACATTGTACTTTGTCATTTAAGTTGGTTTATTGAAACACATCCTTTGGCAAGAAGATACTTATATATGCCTTGAGAGGGAAAGCATTAAAAGATAACAAGAAGAGAATATTATTGGGTTCAAGGTCAGAGGTGTGAGGCTGATCTGTGGGCTGCCCTAATAAACAATGAATATGTTAGGATGGGCAACTACAGTTGCCAGCAGCAGCAGTAGCAATGGGCAACAATGTTGCCAGCAGCAAATAGAGCAATCGCATTTCTGCTGAAAAGCAGACAATAATAAGGCAAAGCCAAAAGATTCCTATCCGCTGAGAAGCAGAAGGGTTAAACAGATTCCGGCTGAAGAGCCGTCCTGCCATAATTTGGAATATTGCCTAAGTATTAATGATTGCAGCCAACAAGATCCAGGCCACCCCTAACATTTATTGACACAGGCATATATACATAGACATTACAAGCCCTTTGCCAATAATATACAATCTGGAAACAGAAAGAAGAAAGAGATGGCTAGCAAGGGAGGGGTGGGAGGGAAGCGAAAATATAACTTAATGCAGGATACAAAAAGGATAGACTAACTGTGTGAATCTAAAGAAAATCAATGGATGAACAAAAGATGAAGTCATCAGAAGGAGACACATGACGTCATTGGAATTAACATAACTGGAAGTGACATAAGCAAACATAAAAGAGCTGAAAGAAGAACTGAGACTGAGTAAGTGTGAATGGTTACAATAAACGCATTGAGTGTTAAGCACTAAATGAGATTATTGAAACACATCCTTTGGCAAAAGATACTTATATATATGCCCTTGGAGAAGGAAAGCATTAAAAGATAACAAGAAGAGAATATTGGGTTCAAGGTCAGAGGTGAGGCTGATCTGTGGGCTGCCTAATAAACAATGAATATGTTAGGATGGGCAACTACAGTTGCCAGCAGCAGCAGTAGCAATGGGCAACAATGTTGCCAGCAGCAGCAATGGGCAACAATGTTGCCAGCAGCAAATAGAGCAATCGCATTTCTGCTGAAAAAGCAGACAATAATAAGGGCAAAGCCAAAAGATTCCCTATCTGCTGAGAAGCAGAAGGGTTAAACAGATTCCGGCTGAAGAGCCGTCCTGCCATAATTTGGAATATTGCCTAAGTATTAATGATTGCAGCCCACAAGATCCAGGCCAAAAGCACTAATGTGCTCATCCCACCTAAGACCATGAACCAGGAATCAAAATTCCTTCCCTCACCAGCCATTTAATAATGGAAATGTAATACTTATGCTAATGCTGTACTCACGTTATTAGTTAGGATGCATTACAGATAGGGCACAAGGGCTTCGCGGATGGTCAGAGAAAACTTACACAGACCTTCATGGGAGAGGTGGACACCATCCCAACAATACATATTAGGACTACTGGGTGTAATGTCTGGGTGTTTCTCGACTACACCCCCCATCTCAAGCACTCTGTTAGAGATCCTCCTGTTGAGCTTCTTTCTTGACATTTCCACCGCAAGGCCGAAGCGGCGTGCCTGTGCCAATGCCTCCTCGGCAGCATGTTAGACCAGACGATTGTGGTCTTTGGCATCAATAATTTGACGCGCAACAGATCAGCATGGATGTCAAGGTAGAGCTGGCTGGCCTTTACCGATCCCAGGTTGTTCGATCCAAGGTGGAATAGGATGGCCCTGGGATGCTGCGTGGACTTAAGTTGTTGCTCCACGATAGGAAGAAGTTCCTGCCACTTCATTCCTCCCCTGGCCAGCCACAGACAGGATGTCCACCCTCCTTGAGACAAACTGCTGAGCCCTGCGCCAGATAGCTTGACCCCACAAGCCATACTGAAACATAATTGTACAGCGAGAAAATTTTGATTGAAGTCAAATAGATATTTGTGGCAAGCGATATATGACTTAAATGAATCTGACCCCATCTACCAAATTTTTGAATAACTTGCTGACTCAGTCCATTTTGCAGCTGCTGAGGTTCGCGGCACCTATCCTGAGAAAGAATGAGATGTATAATTATTAGTGGGTAAGCCACTGAAGGCTAAAGCCTTCTTAATGACTGCCTGAAATTGATATCTGGTCTGATTAGATTGGTCAAAATGAACAAAAGCTGACTCTGCCTGTGCGGGATGTATGTTGAGATATTGCTCCATACCGCTGACAGGACACAATGGATGCTGTGGAATTGCAGTCAGTGTAACCGCTACCCCCTGTTGGGCTCGGTCTCCTTTGAGTGTTGCAGCATCAAGGTTACTTGGCCAAGCTCTTTCTGTAATATGACATCTTTCCTTACAATACCTGCTTGGCCTGTCTTACTCTGTACTAATTCACCTACCCTGAAAAATCCAAAGAAGGCAACACGGAAAACTGCTGAGAAAAGGCATGCTTCAAAGGATGATGTACAGACAAATGGCAAATTTGAAATGACGACTTGTAAAAGATCAAGTGTAATGGGCTGGCGAATATCTGTTGAAGTGTTTCCTTTCTTCATGCCAGCAAGGAGCTTATGTATCAGGAAATGCTCTGTACAATGTGCTATCCCCTTAAGTTTATGATAAGTGGATAAAGCTGATATATATGTCTTTACAGTACGTACTGAAAATTGCCTCAGAGACATGTAAGCAATGAAGTGTACCATGTGGTCAATTGTTACCGGCAGAACCTGATCCAGATTATGCGCTGCCCGGAAGGTGTGCAAGGTGTTTATGGCAGTTTCATAAGTTGCCCATGTGTTGCTGGAAAGTGACCGCTGAAGAAGCCTCTGTGCCTCCTGGTCTAGATCTGCCAGATGTCTTGTGGTACTGGTGTTGGTGTTAGATCTGCTGCTGGTGCTACTTCCTCCGGCGATGCCCACTGAAATCTCGAAGAGCATCAGCAATAACGCCATTTGTGCTTATGTACTTAGCTTTGAAGAGGATGTTATAATTGAGGCACAACAGGACTAGTTTTCTCACCAGAGCCATCACTCTCGGGGGTCTGCAAGACTGTTTGTTAATAATGTGAACTACAGCCTGATTGTCACAGTTGAATAGCACCTTCCTATTTGCAATGGACCTGCCCCAAAGTCTGATTGATAAAACAATAGGAAACAACTCCAGAAATGTTAGATCCCTGGTCACGCTTGACTCCACCCACTCCTTTGGCCAGGGACTATATACCCAATGGCCCTGAAAGTATGCTCCGAAACCTGCACTGCCTGCTGCATCTGTGAAAAGCTGCAATGTACCATTGTCATCTCAATGTGATCTCTGAAAGATCGAAATTCCATTAAAATTAGAAATAAATTCCAACCAGATGTTAAGATCTTCTTTCACTGAGCGTGTGAACCGAATGCGATGAAAGGCAGCTTTCACTGTACTAATTTGGTCAATCAATCTACGGCAAAATGCTCGTCCCATAGGAATGGCTCTGCAAATGAAGTTGAGTCTACCAACAAGTGACTGCAATTCTCGCTTTGTTACCTTCTTTGCATCTGAGGCCAACATCTCCAATATCTGTTGCCTCACTTCCTGAATCTTGTTGTGAGGTACTCTCACCTCCCCCGCCACTGTGTCGATAACCAACTCCAAGAACGTAATGCAAGTTGTTGGTTGGACCGTCTTTTCAGGCGCTACTGGTACACCTAAGTCTTGAAGGAGGTGTAAACAGTGTGACAGATTGTCACTGCACTCTTGTGTATCCGCCCGGCCACCCGTAAGAAAATCATCTAGATAGTGCATCATTTGTTTGTTTGCAAGTGTCTGCAATAAGCACCACTGCAGAAATGTACTGAACATTTAAAAAAATGGAACATGAAATTGAACAACCAAAAGGTAAACATTTGTCCACATAATACTTTCCTTGGAAATAGATACCAAGTAATTCAAAATCAGCAGGATGTACAGGAATGATGCGAAAAGCTGACTTGATGTCAAACTTGGACAGTAATGCACCTGGACTTAGTCTCTGTGCCATTTGCACCGCTTCGTCGAATCGTGCATAGGTAACGCTGGAATCCTGTTGAGAAATATGATCATTAATGGAATTCCCCTGTGGATAAGAGAGATGGTGAATTAATCTAAAGTCATCAGGTGATTTTTCCATTATTACTTTAGAGGTTACCAACTCCTGTTTCTTCGGCACAAGCCCAATAGGTGATACCTGTATGTTCTTAAAGGGTGGGTTGATAAATGGCCCTGCAATTCTTCCCAAATTCAACTCCTTCTCCAGTTTTGCTTGACATGTAGACCATCTGGAGCCTTGGCTGATTTTAAGTTGTCTGCCAACCTGTATGAACGACATCCCTGGTACCTTAAACGAAAACCTGATTGAAAACCTGAAAACAATAACCTTGCATGATGTTTATGCACACTATCACTGGCCAAACGAAGCAAATATGGGCATATTTTTTCAAATTTTACTGGAGTTGGTGCCATTGAAGTTAAGCTTTGATGCATTTGGCCGCTTGTTTTGATGCACGCTGCTGTTTTGGGGTCGTGAGACCCCATCCTGTCGAAAGCAATGTGAAGCCCGTGTGAGGTGTTGCCACATTTTCCACACTTATGCGGATATCTACATGACAGCCTTGAACATGACCCCTTATTGAAATCCCAACAAATGTTACTTGGGAATGATCTATTGCCAGTATTGGTGCCGTTAACCTGTGTACCTACCATACCTGACGCACTTTTGATCCGGTTTTGTTGTGGTATCATGTAGCGTAGCCACAACTCACCATCAATTCTGCCCCATTGTCTCAGTGGATCACGAGCCATTCTGCAACGAAACTGCTTATCATACATGATCCAGCCATCACCCCCAAATGTGACAGCCGCATTTCGTACTGCTTCCATATACGACAGCATTCCCTGCACTGTGGAAGGCGAAGAATGTTTTTTAAGGTAAATAGACATGTAAACATGAAAGCCGGAAGTCCAAGCCGAGTGGCTTTCGTGACAACAATTTTGCCAGCATCGGAGTAAGTACTACGTTACCTGTGCTGTCAGTCACCATTCGAAAACCTTTCTCCTAGCCGTCGATGTGTTTGTCAGTCAGCAGAGCCAGGTCCACGTATTCACCATTCCAGTGACTGTTTCACGTGGACGCCAATGTTGTCGGCAGCATAGGAGAGGGGATTCCCAAATTGACCAATGGGCGAACCCATGACGTCAGAGGGAACTCCAGCATTGCCAACCTGAATAAGACTAGAGCTAGCGGCATGGTTAGAATTGGCGGCCGTACGAAATGCCTGGGAGGAAGACGTTTGAGGCAAATTCGATTTGTTAATTAACTCCAAAATTGCACCGAAATGAGCAGACAATTTATCTGCTGCATTTTCCTGAAAATCGGGAGTGCTATTTGGAACAACATCATCCGGTTTGTGCACCGGGAGAAGGAATGAAGACTCAACATGAATCGAGGAACCGTAGACAGGGGTCTATGAAAACATTCTGTGTTTCGTAACTCACCCGACGATTTGTTGATGAAGCCTTCGTCGAAGACTCAGTTGTTTTCCTGACTTTTCCGCCGTTCAGCACCAACCTGTGATTTGTTGCCGCTCTTCGCTTTGGAGGCATACCTAGTGTGTAGTCGCAAATTCGTGAGTATTCCAAACAATAACGCCAAGAATCCACACGCTTGAACAATATCAAAGCCTAACACTAACTGCTCGACGTGAAAGTGGAAATATAACTTTTTTGCAAGCGAAAATATAACTTAATGCAGGATACAAAAAGGATAGACTAACTGTGTGAATCTAAAAAAAATCAATGGATGAACAAAAGATGACGTCATCAGAAGGAGACACATGACGTCATTGGAATTAACATAACTGGAAGTGACGTAAGCAAACATAAAAAAGAGCGGGAAGAATGAACTGAAAGTAAGTGTGAATGGTTACAATAAACGCATTGAGTGTTAAGCACTAAATGAGAATATGTTACTAAAACTTACAGCACCTGTAAAGATCTTGGTTAGAACTGATCTTGAAAGCTTCACCACTGGATCCCATTCCTCCTTGGCTGTTCAAGTGTGTGCTACAACGTTTAGCACCTGCAGTCTGGGACATTATGAACTCATCACTCTCCTCTGGCACTGTTCCAAGTGTTTTTAAACATGCAATTGTCATGCCAGTTCTAAAGAAACCTGGAGCTGATGAAAACTATTTGAAAAGGTTCTGTCCAATTTCCAACCTTTATTTGTATCTATATGTTTAGATAAAGTTGTAGATGGCAAACTGAGGGCACATCTTGAGAAAAAGCACCTCATGGAATCGTTCCTTGACCTATCCAGCGCATTCGATACCATAGATCATACCTTACTTCTGCATCGACTTAAAAGTCACATTGGGATAACAGGAACTGCGCTCAAGTGGATTTCCTCATATTTGTGAGGTCACACACTATTTGTCAAAATTGGAGATGTACAATCATCAAAGTCACCATTGTTATATGGTGTTCCCCAGGGATGAGATTTGGGCCCCTTCTGTTCACAGTCTACATTCTCCCCATTGGTGACATTATCAGGGGGCAACATATTGGTTTCCACATATATACACAACTCTACATTGCCTTTGAATCAAATGATGTTTCACTCAGTATCAACAAACTTGAGCTCTGCATTCAGGAAATCAGATCATGGATGATCTCCAACTATTTGATGTTGTATGAGGAGAAGACAGAGTTCCTACTCATTGGCTCCAAATATCAGCTTATAAAGTTGAAGACTGCTTTGCCATCACCTTCACTTGGTGACACAGAAGTCTCACCATCAGAGAGTGCCAGGAATGTTGGTGTCATCCTTGATTCCAACATGTCCATTGATGCACACATCACCTCAATCGGTAGATCCTGCTACTTCAACATCCATGATATCCAAAGTCCACCACTACCACGATACTGACACCTGTAAACTTCTCATGCACTGTCTTGTCACTTCTCAACTACTGTAATTCCCTATATGCCAAGCTCTCTGCTAAATCACTCCAGAAACGACAAAGAATCCAAAATTCTGCAGCTAGATGTATCACCCACACTCGAGACCATATCACCCCAGTACTACAGTCTCTTCACTTGCTCCCCATCTCTGAAAGAATTACCTTCAAAATCCACATTCTGACTCATGACTGCCTCTACAACGATAACTTTCCCGACTATCTCAAACATCTCGTCTCTTTGTATGTATCCCAGCGAAGTCTCCAATCCTCCTGTGACTCTCTCCTCATCCAACACAGATCTCCATACCAACTGTCTGACCGAGCCTTCTCCTTTGCAAGCCCTCAACTGTGGAACTGTCTTCCAAAGAAAATCAAGAACACTTCATCAAAAGAAATGTTTAACTCTCTGCTAAAACCCCATCTGTTCACTGCTGCCTTTCAGTAAAACCCATATGAACTATTTCCTTCCCCAATATTGTCACAGCGCCACTGAGCATCTCTATGGTGGATATGAGGCACTTTATAAATAAATTATTATTATGTTTTATAGATTAAGATGAAAAATACAGCAGAGAGGGTTCAGGTGATCCTTGCACAGTCAGGTTGGTAAGGCTCATCATCAGCTCAGGGCCCTTGTCCCCTCTACACGCAGCCCAGACAGTGAATGGGACTTCTCCCAGGAAATGCTGCCTAGTCGAACCCACCAAGAACTTTCTGGAAAATATGTAGACTCCCCAACACTGCAGCCTTCTGCATTACCCAGTGTCAGAAGGGCTGTGCTCCCGGTGGAGAACCTGGGCACTCTCCTGATCTGCGCCAAGAGATCTGGAGGCACCAAACCAAGGGCACCAAGAACATTGGGGAGCCTGACGACAGTGTACTTGGGATGCAAGCAAGACATTTCAAAGGCAAGGCCCGCATAGTTAGCATGCTTTTCCTGAATCTTGCCAATCATGTTGCTGTCAAAAAGGACAGAAAATTCAATGTTAAAAATAAATTCATTGGCTTTATCAAAGAGGACAAGATCAGGTTTGTTGGCAGGAATTCTTCTGAGGCTGTATATGTACCTATTCTAAAGAAGTTTGAAAGCATCATTTTCCATGACGCTCTGGATATGTTCAGGGTCGTACCATGGATGGACCTTGGCGTCAAAGCCACAGGCATGGCGAAGACAGTAGTTGAAACAATGACCCATGCCATCAAATTGTTTAAGATATGCTGTTTGTGCCAAGGAAGGGCATCCACAGACACAAGTGGAAGTCGCGGTGGCTTCGTGTGCTGGAGATTAGGTGCCTGACTCGGATGGAACTCAGCCCCCAACAAAAGTACAAGAATCTGTACTTGACTAAGAAAGTGTAATCCGAAATACAACATATGTTCAGGTACCTGTTTGAAATTGCAGCTTAAAATGAAACGTTTTTGGACACTTGCTGAAAGGGATCAGGCTATAGGCCTTTTGGAATCTGGTCAAACTCAGCGGCATGTTGCTGTCTGCTTTAATGTAAGTGCTGTTGGTAGACTGTGGCAGAGATTTGAAGCCAATGGGTCCGTGGAATATGCATATCAACCAGGTGGCCCCAGAGTCACAACAGTCCGAGATGATAGGCACATGATTAACACTGCGTTACATAACAGATTCCTTAACACAGCAGATCTTCAGACAGAACACTTCAATGTTAACAATATAAAGACATCCAGGAGCACTGTTCGTCGACGTTCAAGGGCAGCCAGACTGCAGTTTGTCCCCGCCGGACCTACAGTTTGTCCCCACTAACAACACGTCACAGGCAGATGCGTTTGAGATCGAGTAGACATTATGGCAGCTAGAATCAATGTCAATGGTCTCCTGTACTCTTCACAGATGAAAGCAGATTCAATTTGACCTTCCATGATGGTCGGCAGAAGATATATCTCGCAATTGAGAGCGAATCGCAGATGCAACTGAGGTCATGCATAACCGATTTGGTGGGGGTGTGTCATAGTTTGGCAGGGATAACTCCCACTGGACGTCTGTCGCCATATAGCTGGAATACTGCTGAGTGTGGTGTACAACTAAACTCCACACTCACTCCTACTGGACATACTCCACTGCACATGGTTGACGGTAATCTTACCAGACAGCGTTATCAGGACAAAATTCTGGCTACTGTAGCAGTAGCATTCCGGCAAGCTATGCATGGCTTTTATGGTCGACCTTCTTTACTGCAAGACGACAACGCTAGGTGTCATAGGGCCAGGATTGTCACAGAATTCCTTAAGCATCAGGGTGGAGTGCAGTTGGAGTGGCCAGCATGCTCGCCAGTGTAACAGGCCAAACTTTCCCCCTGGCCAAACTCCACCCCACCCCCCACTCCCCAAGGCTTATTCTTCCCTGAAGGGTGGGGAAAGTTTGGCCTAGGCCAAACTTTCCCCACCCTTGAATCAACTTTAAAGGCTACTTGTTGCCCATCCTTGTTCTTATATCAAAAGGGGGAGATTCTGGCCTAGCTAGGCTATTTCTTCCCCAACCTTGTTTTCATGTTTATGTTCGTCTTGGAAAAAGTCAGAAATGAAAACAAGACATAGCTATTCACGTGAACACATTGGTAGATATTCATGTTGATGTCAAGTTCCATTAACAATACAGGTCATCTTCATCTTCATATATAACATGTACATGGCTCCCATTTTGTTTCAATACCCTTCTATAAGGTGAGATTAAAAAGAAAAGCAAGCATAAAAGCAAAGATATTATATCATTACTATTGTTATATATTATCATTTACTTATTTTTATTTTTCAATAATTTACTTATCCCCACTTACTCAATATTGGCTTATGTCAACATCATTACTATATTCGGAAACTTTAACTAAATACCCAGTTCTTACTTGGATGTCCATATCCATTCAAAAGTTTATTTCCTCACTCATGGCTAAATATGGCATCCAAGTCGGTGACATCAACTGGAAGCAGATGTAAACATCAACACAACAACAACCCAACACAATATCTGTATCAAATGCTGTATCATCTATCATTCCACTATATTGCCTTATTCTATATTCAAAAGACAAGGTTTGATAAGGGGTATACTTGGCCCATGGATATCTGAATCATATTTCATTCACCCAAAGTGAGTATAGATTAGTAAACAAGCTTATGTGAATAATGTTCCATTACATTTATACATAAATACAAGAAATATTAGATAATAAACAGCATGATAAGAGAGCAAGTAACCTGTGTATATTACATCTTATTTACACATCAAATGTGTGGTTGAATGTTTACATCTTATGGTGGACAGATGAAGAACTAATGCAATGTGTCTTCATAGGAATGGCGGCAGGAGCATGATGGCTTTAGAGACATATGCCGTTCAAACATGTATGTATTCAAATCACTACACCCAAGTCAGAGGCAAAACTGGACTATTTAGCAAAAATGAGTACCAAAATATAAGTCAAACCTACTGTCGGTTTATAAGAGCAAGGGTGGGAAAGAAGTAGCCAGGCTAGGCCAGAATCATCCTTTTTGATATAACAGCAAGGGTGGGGAAGAAGTAGCCTAGGTAGGCCAGAATCTCCCCCTTTTGATATGAGAACAAGGGTGGGGAAGAAGTGGCCTAGCTAGGCCAGAATCTCCCCACTTTTCATAGAAAACAGAACAAAATATCCTAGTTTAAACAGAGGGGCAAGTTTGGCCTAGGGGTGAAACTTTAGCCTAGCCCAAACTTTCCCCGGGGTAAGAATATCCTAGGACAAAACCTCCCCGAGGAAAGTTTGGCCTAGGCCAGATTCTCCCCGGGGAAAGTTTAGACCGGGGAAGAATGGCCTGCTACACCGGGCCTCAACCCAATTGAGCATGCCTAGGATGAACTCCGTCGACGTGTACACACATCGCACATCACCCAGCACCATTGAATCTACCAGGACTCCGCAGAGTTCCTGTAGAGGAATGGAATGTGATTCAGCAAAGTTTCTTTTTGAACATGATAAGGAGCATGAGGGTATGCATGCAAGGAGAGTACACAAGATATTGAATGACCGAGTGCTTCATGTTTGTCATTTTCATTTTGGGGGGTTGGTCTATACAACTGATGTTTGCTAACACATCGAACATTATGAGGACACTCTTAGTTCTATCATTTCTGAGAAACGTTTCTTTACATGTACTATATATCATTTGACCCTTTATCAATGACGCCTGGTATATCATGATATGAAATGACATTAAAAATATGCTCCATTCAGAACAGGCTGGAAACAGGTTTTGACTGATGCTTTTCTTTTTCATTGAGATATAAGAACATACAATTTGAATCCCAGATGGGACTCAACCAAAAACCCATTAACACTTGTCAGAGGGGTGGGTTCAAATTCTGAATGGGACCCAATGCCCAAAAGTACTAAAATCTGTACTTTACTGAGAAAGTACAATCCCAAATATATCAAATACTAGCCACAGTAAGAAACTGTGCATTGTTAAAATTGTTTCTAAATTTAAAAATATTCACATCGTCACCTCTGTGCTTGGGATCTATATCAGCAGGGAGCAACGGATCGATACCTTCATGGCACCCAGTCTTGAGGGTTGTCCACTATCAGATAATTTTGTCAAGGCCTTGACATCTGCCTCAGAAAAGTATGGCTTTTCAGTTTGACAAGCTTGTACTTTCACTTAATGCTTTCATACTTAAATGCTCTTCCCAACAAAATGCTACTTCGGATGAACACCAGTTGGTTCCTGATGCTCAACCCATGAAAGTCCGGGTTAGAATGAACCTTCAGTAACCCATGCTTGTCGTAAAAGGCGACTAACGGGATCAGGTGGTCAGGCTCGCTGACTTGGTTGACACATGTCATCGGTTCCCAATTGTGCATATCGATGCTCATACTGTTAATCACTGGATTGTCTGGTCCAGACTCGATTATTTACAGACTGCCCCCATATAGCTGGAATATTGCTGAGTGCGGCGTAATTTAAACTCACTCACTCACTCCTGATGCTCAGCAATCTCCTTTATCAAGACAGGCAGTTTTGACTTGTTTCTCTAATCGTGGGACTAACATCATTCCATCTATTGTCTCCCCCACTGATGGTCATAAACACATCATTTATCTGAAGAGAACGACCCATACCTTTATCATCTCTATCAATGCATGGAATCTCACAGTTGTATTCAGGTCATTTAGCTTCCAGGGATTACGAACCGTTGACTGAAAAGGATTTAGAACACATCACTTTCAAAACAGTCTTTATCCTGGCATTAGCTGCAGCTGCTTTGGGGTTAGTGAGACCCGGGTTCGATTCCCCACATGGCTACAATGTGTGAAGCCCATTTCTGGTGTTCCCCGCAGTGATATTGCTGGAATACCCCTAAAAGCAGGGTAAAACCACACTCACTCACTCACTCTTATTTATGTTTTGTGCACTTATCCATATTTCAAGTTATTTAATCATTCATCATTCTCTTTTGAACCCAAACGGACTGTGGTCAGAGCCTTGGGGATGAATTTATTTATATCATTGAATTTCTGTCCTTTTTGACAGCAACATGATTGGCAAGATTCAGGAAAAGCATGCTAAATATGCGAACCTCGCCTTTGAAATGTTTCGCTTGCATCCTAAGTACACTGTCGTCAGGCTCCCCATTGTTCTCGGTGCCCTTGGTTTGGTACCTCCTGATCTCTTGGCGCAGATCAGGAAAGTGCCCGGGTTCTCCACCGGGAGCACAGCCCTTCTGACACTCTGGGTAATGCAGAAGGCTGCAGTGTTGGGGAGTCTACATATTCTGCGGAAAGGTCTCTGCTGCATTTTTCATCTTAATCTGTAAAACATCATAATAATGATAATTCATTTATATAGCGCCTAGTATCTGACTAGTTGCTCACTGGACTCTGTAATCAGAATCTGATTATTATTACCCGGATAACCTTAAGCTGCGCAGGAGGTGCTAGAATGTTACAGTCACATGACATGTATTCTTGGGATGAGTTTGGCGAGATGTTTTTGGGGAGTTGGAAAATTGTTTCAGATATGTTACCACTCCTGGATTGAACTAGAAGTATGAGATGCATAGTATGAGATAGGATACGTATTTAAATATACAATTTAGTGTAACATTTTCAATTCATTGAAAAAGAATTCTGATATTTTTGGTACACATATTATTGTATAGTTCCAAAAGTTAATTGAAGAAAAGCATGAAGTAAACTTGTTTGAAAGAGAAAATGAGCATCTATCCAACCCAGATTTTACTTTCTACACGTATTTGTTTTTCAATGCAAGACTTTTATTCCTTTCTACTTGATGTTTCAGTCAGCTGATCAAAAGGGGTATGGTGTTGAGGAAGTCCATATTGCCCTTGAGCAGTGTGGAAAAGACACCAAAATAGTCATTGACTGGCTGAATAAAACTTGGCCGAAGTATGTGGATGATGTGATTTCAACGGTGTCTCATGCGAGCCAAGAATCCCAGCAGAATGATATAGGTGTTATATCAACAGTGGAAGCTAAGAGAGCATTACAAGAATCACAGGGCAGTGTCCAAGATGCTGTTACGTACTGCATCAACACTCGTACACAATTGGTAAGTAATGTTTTCATTAAGATCAGTTTATGTTATAGAATATGAGCATTTGGGTCACCAAAGTCTTTTGTGATGCTATGTTTTGAACATATAGACACAGTATTGTTATTAATGGAAAACATCAGGTTACATCAGGATCACATATCATGTTTCAAGTTACCTAAGATTTTGTTTAGTTCTGAATGGTGGAAGTATAATGGAACATGATGGCATCCATTCCGGCTGCATGTAAGATGTGTGGACACTTCAAGGCCCTAGAAGACAAACACATATAATGCTGGAGGTGCCGAATGAGAAAAAGTTCAAAGGAGTCAAGATGCACTCAGTGTGTTTTCCTCCTACAAAATGAATATGCCATGATCGCTGATTTATGGAAGAAAATGAGGTAGAGAGGAGCAACCAAAAGTGACAGCTAACTAATTCCAGAGAAAGCATCCCAATATGCAGGGCGGCAACTCCAGGCTTCTACTAGAGTTTCATCCCAGACATGTCACTCTTCAAAACTGAACTAGTGGAACAATAATCTGGACTTAACAGCAAAAAACAATATAGACCATACTGGCTGCTATTTCTTCAGATCTCTATTTATGTGGCTGTCCTTTCATTAAATCTTGAGGGAAAAGGGATTCCCCTTTGCTCCTTGCAAGCTTGTACTGTTTGAATACTTTTATTGTGATAGTATGAAAATGAACCACACATGCAGTTAAGAACCAAGTAGAAATAGAATGGTATCACTTGATTTAGTTCAGATTTTCGTATGTTAATTTGTTTCAGTATGCTGAAGTGAATAGCGAGGCTTTTTATGCCAGAGAAGATGTTCTGGAGGCAATGCATGAACATAAAGGAAACAAGGAACTTGTTTTGCATCACTTGGACTTGATGAGGCTAGCCCCCTTCAAACATCGTATATGGGTTGGAAGTGACAATCCTGAACCTGACATGATGCAGCTTGCACTGAACATCAACTGTAACAGTGTATCCACAAGTGTCATAACACATCAGGACTTTCAGGACATGGTCTGTAATAAAGATATTGATTTGGAGGTTAGTGCAGTTTTAAGGAGATAACATACACATGACAGATGCATGAATAATTTGTTACTCTTCTTTGTCTATGTCTTTGCCATACAAAATCTAAATTCTTCTTTGGGTGTGGAACTTGCAAGAAAGCTGAAATGGTTAGAATGTGATGTGTAGAATAGGGTCCTAGTCAAAAGGGCCGCATGACAAAAGGGCCGCAAAACAGAAAAGTCAAAAGGGCCGCAAGAAAGTCAAAAGGGCCGCAAACCCCTAGTCAAAAGGGTCGCGTATCAAAAAGTCAAAAGGGCCTCAGACCCCAAGTCAAAAGGGACCCATATAAAAAATATAATTATAACATCTTTTTTTAAAAGTATTTTAGTAAAAGGTTATACATAATAATAATAATAATATTCACAGGGTGTTTGACAAACCTCGTGTCATCTTACTGCTCTTCCAATGATATAATTTACAGAGAGCAGAAGGGAGCAAGAAAGGGATGTTGGGGGTGCAAGGATCAACTTCTTGTACAGAAAATGATTTTGGAAGAGGCTAAAACATATCACCGCAACCTCTCGATGTGCTGGATTGACTACAAAATAGCATCAAAAAGTCAAAACAGCTGCATCAAAAAGTCAAAAGGGCCTCAGACCCCAAGTCAAAAGGGCCCCATATAAAAAATATAATTATAACATCTTTTTTCAAAAGTATTATAGCAAAAGGTTATACATCTTTACAATGTATATTTTATGCATACTAGCCCTGTTTTTAATAGATATTTATTTTCAACATTAGAAAGAAAATAGAAAGCTCTGAGCGTGGATATGTGCGCATTATAAATATGCTTTATTATTATTATTATTATTATTATTATGTTTTACAGATTAAAGATGAAAAATGCAAAATGCAGCAGAGAGGGTTCGGGTGATCCTGGCACAGTCAGGCTGGTAAGGCTCTTCATCAGCTCAGGGCCCTAGCCCCCTCTACACGCAGCCCAGACAGCGAATGGGACTTCTCCCAGGAAACACTGCCTAGTCGAACCCACCAAGAGCTTTCCGGAGAATATGAAGGCTCCCCAACACTGCAGCCTTCTGCATTACCCAGAGTGTCAGAAGGGCTGTGCTCCCGGTGGAGACCCCGGGCACTCTCATGATCTGCGCCAAGACATCAGGAGGTACCAAACCAAGGGCACAGAGAACAATGGGGAGCCTGGCGACAGTGTACTTGGGATGCAAGCGGTACATTTCAAAGGCAAGGTCCGCATAGTTAGCATGCTTTTCCTGAATCTTGCCAATCACATTGGTGTCAAAAGGGACAGAAAATTCAATGATATAAATAAATTCATTGGCTTTATCAAAAAGGACAAGATCAGGTTTGTTGGCAGGAATTCTTCTGAGGCTGTATATGGGCCTATTCCACAAAAGTTTGAAAGCATCATTTTCCATGACGCCCTGGACATGTTCAGGGTCGTACCATGGATGGACCTAGGAGTCAAAGCCACAGGCATGTCGGAGACGGTAGTAAAAGCAACGAGCCATGCCATCATGTCGTTTAAGATATGATGTTTGTGCCAAGGAAGGGCATCCACTGACAAGGTGTTGGACAGTCTCCGTGAATTCATTGCAAAGTCGACATTTCATATTGATATTTTCTTTAAGAATCACATTTAGGCGATTGCGAGTGGGAAGTGACTGGTCCTGAGCAGCAAAAAGGAAGCCCTCAGTTTCACATTTAAGACCAGCCGACTTCATCCAGGCGAAAGAGTCGGTTGGATTGCTATTCTGTTCCAGACACTGCATGTACACACGATGCAATGGCTTCTCAGAAAGCTTCTCCACAAAAGACCGACTCTGGGCAGACTTGGTGAAGGACTTCACCTAGTTTACTCCCATCACTGTACCATCCAGCAGTACATCGCCATCAACAAAATCAACCTGAAATCACAGATTCTGTCCAACAACCTTGGCACGCTTAAAATAGCTGTGGAATTCCTTGCTTTCATCATGAGTCTTCACATGCATCACTAGAGGATCATCCGATAAATAAATATGTGCAAAAGTACACAATAAAATTCTATCATGAAGAGCCTCCACATTAATCAAACCCCGACCTCCAGAATTGATTGGCATGTATAAACGGTTAAGAGAGGAACGAGGGTGGTGGGCTCTGTTATCAGACATGATCCTTCTGGTCAGACGGTCAAGACTCTGGATGTCTTGTTTTGTCCAATCAACTACTCTGAAGGAATAGGAAAGGACTGGCACAGCAAAAGTATTGGTGGCTTTGACCTTGTTTCGAGCATTTATCTCTGAGCTCCAGATTTTCTTTAAACAAGATTTGTACTCGGCCTGAAGTTTGTCTTGAATCTGGGCATTCTGGAGCTTGTCTCGAACTTGCATTCCAAGATAGGTGTAGGCCTGATCTTCCACAAGATGCTCAATAACTCCTCCCCCTTGTAACTTGACCGATCCATCATTAGTTACCTTGCCACGTTTCAAATGAAGAGTATTACATTTGTCAAGTCCAAATGTCATGCCAATATCATTAGAAAAGGACTTGACAAGGAGAACCTGCTCTTTCAAATTGGAATCTCCTTTGGCAAGGAGCTCGATGTCATCCATGTAAAGGAGATGAGTAAGAGGTGTTGGGGATCTGTGCTGAGGAGGTCCGGGATGGTAACCCTCCTCTTTATTGAGCAGGAAGCTCAAAGGATTTAAAGACAGACAAAAAAGCAAAGGACTAAAGGAATCCCCCTGAAATATTCCCCTTCTGATTGGAATAGATTCGAAGTCTGCACCTGCCCTGCGAGCAGTACATCTCAAGTTGAGTCGAATTCAGCAACTCATTAAAGACTTGAGTAAATCAAGTAGTCGCCAGGGAGGTCAATACAATGAAGAGACTTCAGAATCCATTTCGTGAGGGACAGAGTCGCTTGCTTTTTTGTAGTCAATCCAGCACATGGAGAGGTTGGCGTGATATGTTTTAGCCTCTTCCAAAATCATTTTCTGTACAAGAAGTTGATCCTTGCACCCCCAACATCCCTTTCTTGCTCCCCTTCTGCTCTCTGTAAATTATATCATTGGAAGAGCAGTAAGATGACACTTCCAGGTTTGTCAAACACCCTGTGAATATTATTATTATGTATAACCTTTTACTAAAAATACTTTTAAAAAAAAAGATGTTATAATTATATTTTTTATATGGGTCCCTTTTTGACTTGGGGTCTGAGGCCCTTTTGACTTTTGATGCAGCCCTTTGACTTTTGATGCCCTTTGACTAGGGTTTGCGGCCCTTTGACTTTCTTTATGCCCTTTTTGACTTTTCTGTTTTATGCCCTTTGTCATGCCCCTTTGACTTGTTCCCTGTAGAATACATCTCGATACAAAAGGTTTATCAAGGAAATGATGACATATGATAAGGGCATTTTTTAGCTTGTCTGCCTAGAGGACAGTTGAGTTTATCTTCTTCTTTTGTTTGTCATGAACTGTCTGTAACATCAAACAAAAATTATTTTTGTGTATCATTCAAAGAATACTATCCCTTTTTTATGTTAGTGATCCTGTATTTCCATCACTCTTTAAGAATTTTCTCTGCCAAATGCCTATAACTATTTGAGAAGTTAATGATATCTTCCATCTGTAGAATCATGTGCATGCAGTGATCAACAGCAGGATAGTGCTGAGGAATAATCTGGGGAAATTTAACATCCCGGCAGACAGTCAGTCATATTGAGGGAGGATTGTATCAATGGAATGTCATCTCCATCAGGAGAATTTTGCATGGATAACATTGGTCAGGATACTCTCAAACTGGATTTCTTTGCTACTTGCCTGAACCACAAACTCACAGTGTACCTCAGATTAGTTATAGCCTTGCAAGTATTTCTACTGGATGCTATATCCATGAATTGTTCATGTATGTTCTCTTACTCTTTCTCTCTCTGGTCTCTCCTGGATAGAGTTCTGCAGAAGTTTCAACTCATGGATTGTATAGTCATCCTAATAGCCTCTCACTAAGAAGGACCTTGTTTCAGTTGTTGTTCCATAACTCATGGCAGAGCTTTTCAATGTCCCTTGATCATGAGATCAACTCAATTAGCTTTGATTAGACATCCTCCACAACTCTCTACCCAGTCTCCATCTTCATGCCTGGAAATTATCCAGATAAGTTGCAGTTTTCCGTTTCTACAGGCCTGCTTCTGATGAGGTGGCAAGACCCTTAAACTCCTACTTGTATGATATGGTGGGATCTCTCCCTGTAGGTGTTGCCAAGTTGAACCCACCAAGAACTTTGTGGAGTACTGGTATATTGAAACCCCTCAACACGCAGAGCCTTGTCCATTACCCAAGAGTGCCTGAAAGGTGGTGCTACAGGTGGAGATTTTAGGCACACTCCTTATCTGCGCAAAGAGATCAGGAGAAACCAAACCAAGGGCAAGGAGAACAATGAGAAACCTGATGAGTGTACTTGAGATGCAAGTGAGACGGTTCAAAGGCGTGGTCCACATATTTGCCATGTTTTTCTTGAATTTGTTCAATCACATTGCTGTCAAAAAGGACTGAAAATTCAATGTTATAAGTACATTCAAAGGCTTTATCAAAAAGGAAGAGATCAGGTTTGTTGGCTTGGATATGCCTGAGGCTGTCTATGGGCATATTCCAAATAATTTTATAGTTCTCATTTCCATGATGCCCTCTAAATATTCTGGGTCATAGTTATTGTTTTCCAAACAAAAATATAATGCAGCAGAGAGAGGTATGGTGTGGCTGGGGAGGCTCATCATCAGTTCTACATGCAGCCCAGACAGCAAAAGGTGCTGCTTCAAGGAAGTGCTGCCGAACCCACCAACAACTTTCCATAGAATATGTAGACTTACCCACACAGCAGCCTTCTGCGTTAACAAAGAGTTTCAGAATGGCTGTGTTCCCGGGGAAGAACCCGGGCATTCTCCTAATGTGTGCCAAGAGATCTGGAGTTACCAAACCAAAGACACCAATGGGGAGCCTGATGAGTGTACTGGGAATGATGATGTTTCAGAGGCAAGGTGCATATATTTATCATGCATTTCCTGAATCTTGCCAATCACAATTAATTGGCTTTATCAAAAAGTTCAAG